AGAGAGTGAAGAGGTAGTTACCTGTTACTTTGCCAATTTTATCTCTAGCCACACCCATGTTAGCTTCCTCTTTCTTCCACAATTCCACCAATAGTTTACCGGCTGTAATCTGCTTCTTACCGCGCCAGGACTGAACATGCGCCAGAGCCTGAAGGAACAAAATATAAGAATCAGGGCCCAGTTGTTTGAAGGGCGCATAACGCTATCCAACGGATAAATCGCTATCCAGCAGATAAATGATGGCAAAACGTCGAGCGTTATCCTCCGGATAAAGATTTATCCTGTGGATAACGTCATCCGACCTTCGAACAACCGGGGCCACGATGTTCATGGGTGTATAGTTGTCGGATTTTCTAACAAATTAAGTTAGAATAAGAGAGATAGTAAGTTTTGAGCTCGGTAAAGAAATAGAGAAAGATGTTTTTCGTCTTGTCACGAGCGTGGGACAAAGAAAATTTCTTAGTCCCCATGAGGAATCGAACCTCATATCTTCGGATTCCGCACTCCGATGCTCTACCACTGAGAATCTACGGAGAGCGAGGTCTATTACGAATTTCATACGATAAAATAAAATTTACTGAAACAGATTATATTTCTTTGCTAGTACTGAAACACAGTTTACTTTAGATTACGAGCGGTCCCTCCCTTTTGGCGAAGTCCGTCAGGCGAGTCAAAAAAATACAACGAAAAAAAAAATTGATGTTAGCTCGCTGCGCGGAACTCTGGGAGTGCGGCGCACAAAAATCCTAGAGTTCGCACGGCGCGCTTAAAGGAGAGACTGCTCGTAAACTACGTTTACATGTTCAAGGAACGGGGAAGGGGGGGGGGGGGGGGGGAAGAGTGGAATATCGCCGATCTTGATTACTTCTAAGAAAGAGAAAATAAGGGTCCAATTTAGAATTCAGAGGGAGAGAGGACGAAATGACGAAAAAGATAAAGATTCGTTAATGGCATTAGATCTTAGAGGAAAAGAGCGTTTTATCAGCTAGGAATGGATAACATAATATCTAACCTTAGAATTCTCACAGAGATCCACCAAACATCCCAGCACCAGATTCTGCATTGTCAGTGGACATATCTGAGGTAAGTATATAATTATTAGTTTTAACTATGTAAACTAACACAGTAAGTTGTGCTTTAGGGCTAAATTAATTTCAGTACCACGATTAAAAAAACTGTCAAAAAATTCACAACGCAAACTGAGTTATTTTTTTCTTACTACCGCACAATTATGTGAATTCAGTCAAAATTAAGATCCTTCCATCTAAATCTTCTCCCATGTTTCGAAATCTGTGTTAGTTCGTCGCAGTTACAAAGACAAACGAACGTTTTATCTCACGATATTAAGTCATTTGTCATTGCAGAGACAAGCTATAAATTGAGGACCAAAGCGTTCCGACTGCTATACAGCTTGTCTTCGTCAGTCAAGAAGGTTGAATGATCACATGTTGCTAGTTAATTCAGCATGGTGTTTAGCTACGATTGGTGCGTTTTGGTGCACTCTCATTGGTGCATTTCAAACCTCAATACTAATACGACAAGTAGACAGTTGGTGTATGAGCACTACACCGGTTTACGAGGTCATGGGTGTAATCTGCTGATAATAGTACTAAACAATCTCAGCTATTATCTTCGAAAAAAACTGTTGTTAAGTACCTCTAATAAATCCATGAGATGAAAAACTCCATCATTTTCAAGAAACAGTTGTTCAGTTATGTAACATCCCAACACAGCAGACCTGGGGACAAACGAGACAACAAAACGGGGATTAGAGGGTGCCGTAAAACCAAAAACCAAAATACCACAAGAATCCATTATGAACTAGAAAAAACGTGAAAACTGCCTAAAACTGCAAACCGCGTCTTAGTAAAACGCGGGAAAACGTGAGTTACTAAGACGCGGCTGGTTTTTGTTTTGCATCTGATTAGTTAAGATTCTGGCTTAAGCGCGGGAAAGTGTGAGTGACCATGACACGGTAAGCTTTCGCTTTGCAACTGATTGGTTAAGAGCCAGGCACGAGTTTTTTAAATTAATCATAGAGCGTAGTTGGGTAAAATCAATGCAATCCTGGTTTGCGTGCGACGCATAACTTTAAAATTGTTCCAACATCTATTCTAGAAATAACTCAATCACTGTTTGTTCTTACCACACAGAGTCTACTGCGGATAAAAGAAGCTGATGATGCCCCAGCGGACTGTTAATCTTGTTAGGATCTCTCTTCAGATATTCTACCAACACTTGGACTCCTTGGGCACCAAATAGCTCCTACAAAGAATAAGAAATGTTTCTTAGGTTGGCCTGGGTAAATTACTATTCCACCAAACTAAATCAGTAGCTTCACTCTTTTGATTAAGGATTTTCGAACTTTCTTTTAAGCGTTTTTGCATCAAACAACAACGACAACCAAAAGTATTATAATACATGCGCACTAACCCGCCCGGGAAAAGATTTCGACACCTCAACTTCAATAGAGAAGACGAGCTGAAGTACGCAGCAGTTATAGTCTACACTGAAGCCTCAAAATAAATTCCCTCGATTTAGAAAAGTAATAAGAAGAATTCTCTTGAGTTGCTGTGTACTTCAGCGCGTCCACCTCACTTTCTTCAAGTTTACGAGAATCATTGGTATCACTTTTAGGAGATCAGGAACGCTGTTGTAAAATAAAAAAGATGAAAATCTACAGCTACAAGTCTCTTATTAGTGGCTCAAACCGAAATTACCAATTACCTCTGTCATGATGGCATTCACTCGATCGTTTTTTTTTTAAATTATTACCTTCCTGTGAGTATCTCCTTCACAAAGAGACGCCACAAGGAACAACATATCACACTGCATCTCAATGTCAATAGCATCATTATCATCAGGGCTGGTGCTGGCATTGAGAAGTATTCCTGCAATTTGTAGCAAAATCGTTTATTGGTTTGAGATAAAAGTTATTACGAGTAGCTTCTGGTTAAGACAGTCAGTCCCCGTTATCATGGAGTTGAGTGACATAGAGTGTCACTAATCCTCCAGGCACCGGTATTCGAAGTGTGAATGACGCTATCCAGTGGATGCATCTTAGCATGCAAGGCCCAGTCTTAAAAAGAGTGGATAACGCTATCCCACGGATAAATCGCCATCCACGGACAATTTGCTATCCCAAGGATAAATCACTTCCCAACTGAAATGTGTAAAGAAAACGTACTGCACTATCCTCCGAACCCCGGTTGTTCAAAGGATGAATAACGCTATCAACTGGATAAGTCTCTCTTTCCTGTGGATAACGCAGTACGTTTTGTGAACGCTTGTGATTAATCCGTGGAATAGCGATCTACCCTTTGAAAATGGGATGCTAGTCCGTCATAGATCTCCAAGCAGCAATTCCTTAAGTTTCCCGAACAATTTACCAGTACAAATTAATTCTCCTAGGCGAAGAGGTACTGTGATAGTGAAGGATCTAGCCCAAGAACACAATAAAATTGCGTTTGTCACCTCAATCGCCCCTCCTTCCGCCACTTAAAAAATCACAGTACCTACCAATAATCTGATTGATAGCTCCTTGGTCTACAAGATCTTGATTCAAGCCGTCATCTCCTACTGACACCATGCTCCTCATCAGCCGCAAACAATACCGCATCTGGGCTCGTTTGTTGCCACGGCCACCAGAGCCATGGAAACTGTTGCCATGGCCACCATAGTCAGCTTATGGAAAAGATAAGAAATCATTTGTAAAACAGTTCAAAATTCAGTAATTTTTGCGCGTCAATATTTTGAGACTTCCCTTCAATCGTACACATTATGAAAAAAACTTTAAAAATGTTTACATAACATAACTAACATAACTAAATGGAATATGAATAAAGGGGTAAAGAAACTGTGGTGCTGCGTCGGTGGGAGAGTATAGCAGGTAATTTAGTGTTCACAACTGAGTTGAAAACGTAAATTAGCCACCGTAAAGGGTATAAAAGCTGACGTTTCGAGCGTTAGCCCTTCGTCAGAACGATTGGAGCAATATGCATACAAAGCTAAAAATCAAACAGTACCTACCTTCTCCCACACACCATTCCAGTAGCATAAGTAATCTGGTGTTACTCTGACAAGTCATGTAGTCGTCCAAACACAAAGGAGCGACAGTGCTTAAGGTATCTAAGGCCTGGAAACAAAAAACATAAGAATTTTTTGCTAGTCTCACATTGTGATCAGCAGCTCAGAGGCGGACCGCAAAAATGCCATTACTGACATCTCCACTGAAGTCCTCATCTAGTCTTCTAACTCTCACAATAGAGACTTCAAGTTAACAAATGAATACTAACTTTAACCAATAGCACTACTTGGAATATTTTTTGATGCAATTGTACCTGTAACTGCAGCTCCTCAAACTGTGCAGGGGACCACTCCACAGTTGAGCTGTTGTCATTTGCTCGTACAAAAGAGAACAATGACAAAATCACGCGACCCTCACAAAAAATCTGCCAAATGTAATAAAAGTTAGGTTAAAAAAGCCTGTTGGGGGCGACATATTCAGTGAGTTAAATCAAAATAAAATTTGTAAACCACACCATAAATTCCATGATCTCCAAATGATTTTTTATTGTTACCTGAGAGCTTCCAGAATCAGCACTCAGCAACACCAATGTGCTCATTAACAGCTTCTTGAACTCAAAATCTTCATGAGTCTAACAGATAACAACACAATCATATTTATTAGAGTTTCTTTAATTTACATGTGACCTACACCCCCTTTGCACATGTTTTATGGAAAAACATTGGAAAGAAACCCATAAGAGGGAAGCACATGATGGCACAGGCAGGGCATTAAAAGTCAAACAACCCCAAAAAGGTGCCTATGAGATGCAATGAAAATTTAAAAAGACAAAGAGAATTATATTGTAAAATGCTTATTGATTTAATTACGTTGAGCCAGACACAAATACATTTGGCTTTAACTGTGTTCAGGCAGTACATCATGACCTCCAAGCCTTAGACACACATTTTCCTTTCTGGCCTATCCACTCTGTTAATAAGTACTTGGTACAGAGCATCTGACTAGATACATCTACAATATCTAATAGTGTGCTCAGATGTTTGATTGTTACAATTCAACTTGTGTGGACTTTTTCATCATTTAAGTTGGATGGCACAATATGACACTCTTTAGATACTTGACTTAGGCAAAAAGCTACTCCTGCAAAAAGTTGAGCAAGTTTCTCTAGTATCACTTGAAGAGCAGTTTGTATGGAAATTACAGTCTTCACCAGTCCTATATTTTGTTATGTTCTGTCAAAAAACTCCAAATGTTTTGCTAAGATGCTTTGGTACTGTATCACTGTTACTATCACTTTATTAGATCTTTAATGAAGGAGTCCAGAATTGTGTGAGATGTTTTGGCTCATACAACATAGGCCACCCTGCTAACACTTGGAATTTCTTGCTATTTCTACCAAGAACAGTATTATTTTACATGTAAACTACTTGTGTCATTTTTCAAAATACTGTAACAATGACACACTTAAGTGGCAGTTTCTGCTCTAGAACATGAAAGCTTACCTGGTAGAGCTTGAGATTCCTCACTAAATCATGATGACTTTTAACTAAATTTAAACCAAGAAACAGACAATATGAATGATGCTGACAATAAAATTGACTCATTCCTCAAACAAGAGATAAAAATGGTACAAGTGCTAAAGGGGAACCTGCTAAATTGCACACCTGGGTTTCCATTTGATCATGAAATGGAGGGATCTTTAAACATGTTGTGCTGTCCTAAATACA